CTTTGGGATGGAAACTGGGGATCGTCCGGGAGCAGGAGCACATCAATGTATAAAAATAATTTTTCTTAAGTGCCTTCTGTTGCCTGGAGGGTATTTGGTGATTTGTTTTTGATGACTTAGGCCCGCAATAATACACTAATGGATTTACGTGCCTGGCAATTCTGTCCAGAAGTTACTTAAAAGCACCGGGCCTCTATTATAGCCGCCTAATCTAAGTTTTGGCAGGATAGCTGGAGGCTCAGATCGGTGGCCAAAACTCCCCTGATTGATGCACTGAATTGCCAGAGGGTGCAGAGGAAATGATGGACTGGGTTTTGCCACATAATGCACTAACTTTGGTCCTCTTTGAGCCAACCATGTTAGCAGCGGCTTAACAAAAAAACCCCTAACCCACAATATTCATCTGCATCAAAAGAAGCGCAATGACACAAACCTGGAGGTGGACCCGATGCCAGATGTGTGGATTTCCCTTCCCAGAATCCCCTGGCCCGCGTGGGTGTTCTTGAGGATTCTGGGTATTGAAATCTACACATCTGGAAGTTGCCTGGACTCTCCTGTAGTCTCTGCTTGTCACGCACAGCTGGAAACTCGGGGCCCTTCACTGTGCTGAGTTTCAAGGATGTAAACAGACTCTACCTTCACGTGGGTTAACTAAGCCGTGGTTTGCTTTAATTGCAGTCTGTTCAATAAACCAGATGCTGGTTTACGTTTCTGAAGCCAGTAGCCGGCTGCTAAAACGGCTAATGATTTTCAGCAGCCACAGCTGGACAGCTAACTTTCTAGCACCGTGTTTCTTAAACTTTCGCCGCTCAGGACCCCTTCCCACTTTTAAATAGGATGGAGGACCCCCAAAGGTTGCATTTACGGTACTGAACGAATTAAAAAGAAAGACGCATTTGCCGCCTCTCCCGCTCACGACGGTTTGATGCGGGTTTAATACTGGGTGGTTCTTCCCCACAGGCTGGCAAAGAAGCTTGATTTGGTGGACCCCGAGAGGGTCTTGGGGGACCCCCGGGGGTCCCAAGACCACTTTTGAAGAAATGTATTCTAGAACGAACAGGGTTCTTAGAAAGAGCAAAGATTATGGGATTATATTACTAATATTTTTGCTGTCGTTGCTGGGAACGGGGGGGTGGCACGTCCTGGGGAAGGTGATACTCCCTGTCCCCTCTGAGGATAGCCCTAGAGCCAGGGCCCTGCTGGGAAAAAGAAGGAGAAACCCATTTCCAACCCTGGCTGCGGACCGAAATGCTGAACGCAGTCAGATTCTCTCTTTGCAACGATTACGTTGCAATTACACTTCTCTCTCTTTCATTTCCCCCCATTCCCCCATGGTATTACAGGTGCCAGCCTGGGCTTCTCTTTCTGCTGCGTTTTCGTTCTTCCATTTCGGGGAAATGGAGCAAAGGCACTAACTCAGCAGAAAAGGGTCAAGGAGGCGCTGAGCTGGTGCCAAGAACAGATGGTCCTCCCCGGCCCCCGAGCCAGCCGGAGGCCAGCCCTGAACACGAGATCGCCATCGCGTGCCGCTTCCCCAAATCCCTCCACCCCGGGGCATCAGCCCCGAGAGCGTTCTCCCCAGATAACCGTAAAACTGAATGGGCTGTTTGGAAAAGGGGAAGGAAGTTGAGGGAGCGCACTCAGCAAATTGGGGCATTCCTCCTTCCTGACCCGCGGCCTCGTGAGCCGCTGGAAGTGCAACGTCAGGTTTCCATTTCGTGATTCATGGTTTCTCGATGGGGCTGCGGTGTCCTTGTATCGCTGAGCAAAATCGTCTATTTCCCGGGCATGGCGGGCGCACCCGCTCTGTTTTTTTCTTTTTTCCAAGAGCTTGCATTTTGCTTCCACTAAAAAAGAAAATCCACGCTTCTGCTGATGTTGGCGCGTCGGGGTGGCCGTTCCTGGGGATTGGGGGCACTCGGGGCAGAGGCGCGGGGAGACCTGATGAGTGGAAACGGCCTGGAAATCCACAGGAAGATGAATGTACTGTCACTGGAGTGATTTTTGGGTTGGTCCCGAGTTTGCCTGAGTTGTGATCGACGTGGGGATCCTTAGCAGTTCCACGAGGTTGGATCGTGTTGGGCTTTTGGGCTGCAGTCGATTTCAGGCAGCCGACCTGTTTGTGGGAAGAGGGGGCTAGAAAGGGCTTCTGAAGTTGCAGCTGAGGCTTGTGCCCAGAAAGGAATTGAATAAGGCTTCTAAAGGGCCCCTTTTACCATGTAGAATGAGGGTCGAAGCAGCTCATAAAAAGATTTAGTCCTAAATTGGGTTCAAGTCCTGGCAACTTAATCTAAATGGCCTTGACATATTCTTGGCAACCATAGAGAAGGGGTTTGCCATTCCCCTATTCCAGAATTATTTATATATATTAAAAAAACCATGGGATCTCCTAGTGGTCTCCCCTCCAAGTAAGAAACCATGAGATCTCCCAGTGGCCTCCCATCCCAGCAATAACCAGGGCGACCGTGCTCAGTTTACAAGCCCACAATTAGGAACGTGTTGCCCTTCAGCTGAGCACTGAACTTAAAACGCTTTCACACACCCAAATGTGCCCGTGACACTTTCAGAAATCGTAATGCTGGCCCGTAACAATGTTTCTGCGTGCTGTATTTCTCTAATCCTTTGCCTTGGGGTAGATCCCCCAAATAAACAACATCCTTCATTCATGATCGCTTGAGCAGCGGAAGGTAAAAAGCCTCTGAGCCCATTTGTGTCATCTGAGATTTTCCTGGGAATTGCTCAACTCGGTTTTTCCCCCCAAGTTTCTTTCATAGCCTTGGAAACGAGGCCAGGAGAGAAGGGGAAAAAGTGGAGAATCGTGCAAGTGTTATAACTTGGGATTATCCCCTCCCGCGCTGGAAGTGGCGTGCGTTGGAATGTGATCTCTGAATGAACGTGGTTTAGAAAACTGGATTTGTTCTGCAACGCGGCGTCGGACTCTCCGTCATCGGAAAGGAATCTGAGCAGCTTTCCAGCAGGAATTAGTATGTCCGACCCGTCCGTTCGTAGCTTTAATCTGTATTTCTTTACCGTACTTTCAAGCATTCCAGCGCAGGACACCCGCGTGGTCCAGAAGCACGTCCGGTGAACGTGGACAGCGGGAGGACAAAGTCATCTGAGCGGCTGGCTTTTGATTTTGGGGCGAGGGATGCAGAGGGTGGTCTGTTACCTGTCGATGGTGTGGGGATTTCGTTCGGAAACGCAAAATGCTATTCGAAGCTCTCCAGGCCGTAAAGCAAAATATATTTTTTTCTCACTGGGTGTACCCCCCCCCCACCACCACCCCGCCAAATTCCCCACTGGAACAGAGAGAGAGACCCACAGTAGCTTTATCCAAGCAATCTGGGATGAAGAGACAAATTTGGGGGAACTTGGGGTCCGATCCGACTCGCGGGGGTGCCGACGTTGGGCTAAGTCTGTGGTTTGAGGGCATGCTTGAGGTCACCTTTCTGCCCCCTCCTCAAATGAAGCTTGCCAGACCTCCGAAGGCAGAGGCATGACCTGGGTTAGATCAACAAGGGAGCAAAAAACATCCCGTGATGCTCACAGCGCTGGCTTGTTTACTCTCCATTCTTTCTCCTTTGTTGTGACGCTGGTGGCTTTGTTCCTGTTATGTGTGTCCCTTCTTGGCATGACACTGGGCGAGTCACGCTCAGACGTGTCCGTGTGAGCTTGGCCATGCCAGTTCACCTTCTCTGTTTCTGGCAACCCCACCCTTCTCCGCTGGGCTGTAAACAGGAGCGTACAACAACCCTCCGAGGTTGAATTGAACCTAAATTCAATTGAATTGAACCTAAATCCAATTGAACCTAAATTAAGTTGAAATTAACTTAAATTCAATTGAATTGAACCTCAGATTAACCTAAATTAGGTTAAAATTTAAATTCAATTGAATTGAACCTAAATTCAAGGTTAAATTTAGCCTAAACTAGGTTATTAACTTAAATTCAATTGAGTTTAACCTGAATTTAACCTAAACTAGGTTGAGATTAACTTAAATTCAATTGAATTTAACCTGAATTTAATCTCAATTTCACCTAAACTAGGTTGAGATTAACTTAAATTCAATTTAATTTAACCTCAATTTCAGCTAAACTAGGTTGAGATTAACTTCAATTCAATTTAATTTAACCTCAATTTCACCTAAACTAGGTTGAAATTAACTTACATTCAATTTAATTTGACCTAAATTTATCCTAAATTCAACCCATCTGGATGGCACCAGCTCCAGAAGATGCCGGATTGCAGCCCCTGATAAGGAGCTAATCCTGTCTAGAAAGTATTTTAGGATCAGATGGGTTTCTCTGCTTACTTGGGACTACCGTTCCCATCCTCCTCCCCCGCAGCGACGGTAGGGTGCCCCCCACGATGTCACTGATGTCAGATCCTCTGCGTGTGAGTTTCTAGAGAACTGATTAAACCCAGAGCTGAGTTTCAATGGCTTGATCAGCAGAACGCCCCTAAGGAGGAAGACGGGAGAGATGTGGCAGATACTTCGAAGAGGAAAACATAAAACAAAAAACCACATTTGCACAATTTCAGAAACCACCAGAGCTTGAAAGGATATTCCTCTGAGCTTTTGTCACTTTCACTCCGAGTTCGGGTTGGAATATTTTTGCGGTTCGGGGTGCACCGTGTTTATTTATTTGATTCATTTATGAATCAAGTTTATAGGGCCACCCGTCTCACCAGAAGTGACTTTGAATAGCATACGACAAGCCAATCAAGCCATGAACGCATAAACCAAACATTGTCTAAGAAACATGATGTAATAATGATTAAAACACATTAAAAACTGTAAAAGCAGAACTAAAACAGACAAAAATAATAACAGAGGGATGTTAATCATACTGGAGCCACCTCACTAATCCACCTGTCCCTTGGAGTCCCCAGGCCTGCTGGCATAACCAAGTCTTGAGGGAGTTAGTCCAAACTGCCCATGGTTTGAAACTATGTTAGCCCAAACATGGTTTAAAACTTTTCTCTGATTCTCATTCCAGAGTGCCACTCAGGAGATCGGAGAAGAGGTTGAAGATGGCGTGATCTACAGCATTTCTCTCCGGAAAGTTCAGCTTCATCACACAGCCAACAAAGGCCAGCGATGGCTGGGGGTAAGTGAGAGCTCTGTCGTTGGGGGTGTGAGAATATCAGCCTACCTTGCAGGGCTGTAGTAAGAAACATGGGGGCAGATGGAACATTTCCATGGACATGAAATATAGTTATGCCCTGGCCTGTGATTATTCTGTGGATTTCCATAAGGCTGCGATTGTACATATTGGATGGAAGTGAAGCTTTGAAGCAAATTATAATACAGGTAGTCCTCGTTTAGCGACTGCCTTGTTTAGTGACCATTCACAGTTATGATGACGATGACAAAGTAACTTTGCCACCCAGCCTTGCCTTTATCCCCTTCGCAGGTCTGTAAAGCCAAGGAAAGCTGATTGTAAGCACCGTTGCGGCTTCATTTAGCGATTGCTTCACTTAACAACCGAGTTACCAGTCCCCATTGTGGTCACTAAACAAGGATTAATACTAATACTACTACTAAGAATAAAATTAAACTTGTAAACCAGGGAGCCCTGATTCCCCACATGTGTGTAGAATGAAAAATCGCCTCCCATCTGCCCCAAGATTATTCCAAGCCTCTCTGACGTCTGCATCAACTCAACAGCCCTGCAGAGTAAGCCAGTATGGGGATTAGCTCTCCTATTAAGCAGAGGGAAGGGCAGAGAGTGTGTTTGATTGCTTGACGCCAACATTTCTTCCCCAACCCTGTTGAGTCAGTTGGCGAGGGCCGTCTCTTAGCCCGAGGAGGGAGACCGCTTCCGAAAATCCCATTAAACCAAGGCATGCCGAAGAAGGGAACCAGGTTCCCAAACTTCTCGCTTGGAGCCGGGACTCAAGACCCGGGAGGGGGGAGATCCAAGAGTGGTTTCTCCTTCCCTGCAACTTTCTAAACTCAAGGCATCTTCGTCTTGGAAGCAGCCCAAAGGGGCATGCCGGGCAGGGCGCGACTCACGCTCCAAAGGTCTTTCCATGCCTCGATCGTTCTGCGTCTTTCCACCCCGAATGGGGAGATGGCCCGTTTCAATCTTTTCCTCCCCTTGGCTGGCCCTGAGCATGAATCGTTGGTTTTAAAGAAGGAGGGGTTTACTCCTCCAAGGGTTGGTGGGGGGAAGCAAATACGTCTCCGTTTTCACTTCCGCACCCAACAGGATCGGACGGTGTGCTCCGTCCCCCGAGAAGCCTTGCCGGGTCTCCCAAAGGCTCTCTTGTTACGCCTGATTTTGTTCAGATTTACTCATTCTGGAAAGGGGCGATCGACCAGCAAGGAGGGATAAAGAACCGCCCTCTAGGGATTTGATGGGCCTTCTCCCTCTCTCGCCCACCCCGTGGCCCAGTCTTGAGGACTAGAAGCCTTTTTATTTTATGGCCGATAAGCCGGACTGCCGCCTGGCCGAAAATGGGTGGAAAGCACTCAGTCCAATGCTGAAGCTTTTGCCCTGGAGAAGGATAACATCTGGAGCAGCGTCAGCCTCTCCTTTGCTGGAGGTGTGGCGTCTGTGCACCAGCAGAAGAAAACATTTTGAACGTTGGAGGGGTTGCTATGAGGAGTCCAAAAAGGTTAAGCGGTTTTTTTTCTTCCTTCTTTCAAACTATGTAAGCACAGCTGAGAAAATAAACACGAGGCTGCTTGGCTGAGAGTCAGAGCGAAGGCACGGTTTCGATTCCGGCACGGCCCGCGGGTCCTGCGCGCTTCGGGTGGGTTTCGACACGCTCCGTGTCGGCTACAGGAGCCCTGCGGAGTAGACCAGGATGGGCGTTGTGCCCTGGCTGGGCTGATGGGAGGATGGAGGCTGTGTCTGGGGGGGAAAACCCCGTCTCTTCACTTCACCCTTCACGCAGGAATCTTCTTACCTTCTTTATTTCAGTATCGTCCTGATTCTCTCTCTCTCTCCTTCTCATAATTTTTATTTTAAAAAATCATAAGTCAAAGACGTATCTAAAGAAAAGAAAGAGGAGAAGAGCAAAAATCAAGAAAGAAGTGATTTCTGGCCTTCTTTTCAACAGATATTAACAAATCTTCCCTCCCTCTTAACTGTTCCAGAAATCCCTTCAGATGCTTATTTAATTCTCATCTTTTTCCATCATCACATCCATAAATCATCATTTCACTTCTTTCTTCTTTTAGCCAAAAGTCCGTGAAGGGTTTCCGGTCTTTCAAAAAAGTCTTTATTGTTTTCTTCCTGACCAAACAGGTCAGTTTTGCCATTTCCGCCAATTCTGACATTTTCACAGTCCTTCGCAGGTCTGTAAAGCTGTACAATCAGCTTCCCTTGGCTTTACAGACCTGTGAAGGGGATAAAGGCAAGGCTGGGTGGCAAAGTTACTTCGTCATTGTCATAACTGCGAATGGTCGCTAAACAAGGCAGTCACTAAACGAGGACTACCTCCATTCTGAGGATGTCACTGTTCTTCCATTGTTGGGTGCGTCGCAGTCTTGCTGCACTGGCATTGTCCTGCTTCTCTTACGCCCCCCAAAATATCTGCCATGTGTATGAAATGGGTTGTCTCTGCTTCCCCCCTCAAGTCATCCATCTGCATGGATTGTCACAAGTTGCCAAACATCTGGTGGCTGGAAGCTTCAAGGAAAGATACCCACCTTTTGGAAAACAGATTTGCAGTGGAGGAAACCTCTCCCCACAGCTCCCTCTGCTTGATTCCTGCAGAGTTCCTATAGCCCAGGGCTATTTTTGCCCCCATAGGGACTAGAAACTTGTATTTCTTTAAATGACAACAACATCATCTGCCTATCTCAGGTCCTTGGGAAGGATTTGATAGGTGGACAAAAATGCCAGATCCAGTCTAAACATCTGGCTGACTGTGTGGCCAACCATGAATTATTAATTAGAACAATTATTATATATTATAATATATAAAAAAGGGATGCATATTATAATAATTATTGATAATAATATCCCAGGCCTTTGGGAAGGACTCAGTATGGACAAAAATGCTAAATCCAGTCTAAACATCTGGCTCACTGCAACC